CTTCAGTGTTGTTCTTCAAAGTTCTGCTGTTGAGTTGTTTTGGTGTTGGATTTGTATGCAATTTTCTCTCTTTCAAGTTTGTGGTGTGATATTATTGTTGATTCAATCGATTCTTTCATCCCCAACATTTATTACACTTTTGGAGACCTCTAGTCTGCAGCCTTCTCACCAAAAGTAGCTCGTTTGTTCCTTGTTCCTTTGCTCCTATGTTCCTGGTTATATTCGGGGTTAGCTGTCTGTAACACACAGCTTTTCTTGCAATTGACCCCTTCGCTTCAGAACATTGCTTCTGCAGGCAGATCTAATTGCCTATTTGTCATGAAGCAACAGATTATCAAATAAGTATTATCTCCAGTCTCCCAGGAAACAGCTTGTTTATCAAAACCGAAGGAACTGCGGATGCTGTAAATCAGAAACAGAAACAGAAATTGCTGGAAAAGCTCATTACCTGTGAAGAGAAATCGGAGTTAATAATGTTTTGGGTCAAACGACCCTTCCTCAAAATTCCTGTTTTTGTCTCTGAACAGCTTGTTTATGTTGTTTCCTCCCAGGGATGGTTAATTCACATGTTGTTGTAACTCCTTTTATAACAGCTTCGCGTTGTTCCTTCCATCACAAGAAGCAGTTTATTCCAAATAGAGTTACGACTGGGGCAGATTACTGGGATCTGTACTGAAAATGCTGGAAATCACAGGATGGTCAGGCAGCGTCCACGGAGAGAGAGCAAGCTTCACCAGTGTCATCTAGACCCGAAACGTTAGCTTGCTCTCTCTCCGGGGATGCTGCGTGACTCACTGTGATTGCCTGCACTTTTTGCTTTCAGTCAAGAGTCATCGCTGATTCTTTCATTTCATATGTAACAATTTGTCGATTTTTCCAATCTGTGAACAGTTATTAAAATTCCGAAGTTTTCATTGACACTGTGTCCTGGATGTGTCGAGTTGTTGGTCATCCTTGTGTCCAGTCAGTTCTACAGTGGCACTTTCTCTCTCCCAGGCGACTTTCTGCCTGAGTGCACTAGAATTAGCTCAAAACAATTGGATTTTAATTGTGGGTTTTTATGTTAGAACAGAATTGTAAATGTGTCAGTGTGAATCAGGTAATATTGCCCTAGCATTTCCACCAGAATGTTGTGTATTTACTGCCTAGACTGGGGCTCATAATCTAGACAGCTGCTCCCGTGTGCTGTATCATGTCAGTGAGTGCTGCTCTGCTGGAGATGCTGTTTTTCAGGTGAGTTGGACCTGAGGAGGAAGTAAAAGACCTCACCACCCTTTTGGAAGAAAAGCAGGAGGATCTTCTTTGGTGTTCTGCCTAATATTTATCCTTCACCAATGTCGCTAAAAAAGAAAACTAGTGTATTGGTCATTATCACGTTATGTATTGGGGGATCCTTGTTGGGCTCAAATTTTCTACTGTGTTTCCTCCATGGCAATTAAAAAATGTTGGGCTATGAAATGGATGCTTAAGTGTTCAAAGGCGGCATCTGCATCGTTGTTGTATCCTGCCTTCGAGTAATATTTCATTGACCGCGAGATGCTTTAAAACTTCCTGAGATTGTCAATACAACTCATTCTTTGTGATACCCAGAAATGCGATAAGTAGAAATTCCTTCTAGCTTCCCCCCCTCCACCATCATACAGCATTTCCATTCCCCCATGACCTCATCTGGAATTCCCAGAACCTCGTTGTTGAGACAATATGGCCATCAAATAAAATTCACAAAATAAGTGTAAAATTGATGTGAGAAAACAAGGTGTAGAGCTGGATGAACACAGCAGGCCAAGCAGCATCAGAGGAGCAGGAAGGCTGACGTTTCGGG